TGTTTCAGCCTGGGTTGAATACTTAGGAAAAAGTACAAATTTTAAAATGTATGATGGCATCGACCACTTGTTGCGCTCGCATATGTTTACTTCATTTATTATTACGTAAATCCTTATATTTGTCTTTCCTAAAGGAACAATCGAGATAGTCACGGGCATATTAATTATGCTACTTGCTGCATCATTGGCGTTTGCTTACTGCTACGAATGGAACCAACTCTTGCTTCCATGTCTTTTTCTACAGGTACATTCTCTGCCGGAAATTGAGCTGATTTTTTTGAAGAATCTCAATTTTTTCAAGTGAGCACTTTGTTAGCTCAAGATGTTTTCAGCTGTTCGCTTTGATAGTTTCAATAATATCGTTTTGTGTATGCGTACTCACAGTGATCTGGCCCAGTAATCCATGGGCAGCCAATTTCTTGGCGCAGTTTTCCACACAGCCTAACGGTAAGCTTTTCAAGATCCCACACTTCTTTGAAGAACTCATTTTAGAAAGTCTGTGTATACTGTGTATAGGATGTTGTTCGTTTTTCTATAAAAGTAAAAGCGCTCGAGCCACTCGAACTATTTCTGAAGAGGTGGCGCACATACATCGAACAGGCGATGAATATTAACTGAAAGCATGCAGCCTAGAACCGATCTGGCATAGCTGCGCCTGGTGTACACTAGTACCTAGTAGCATCACTAAAATGATACCCGTGCTGAACATTCGTTTCAGTTTAGAAAGATTTTGTGTTTAACATTAAAAATCCAGGATGTACGAAAGTTGATTACGAATCTGTAGTCCTGCACATGACCGACGACAATTATTGTAAAGCCTGGAACCTAGCCCTTGAAAAATCAGAGCTTAAGTGTGACTCGTACAAACGTCTTAATCTTAGCTAGATTACTAGTCTTTCATAAATACTGTAAGTTACACTTAGAAGCCTTTGTCTCTCTGATTTCTCTCTCTCCCTGTCCCTTCTTATATCCGTCTAGCAAATTAGTCACGTGACTGCTCATCACGCGGCGAGTAGGAGGGTGTACTGATGATTCCCACTCCTGACCGCACATCAAGATCGGTCTGTATTTACAGCTGAGGGATGAAACACAAACTGCATCCTGACACAACTTCTTACACACGACACTTGGTCCAACTCCTTTTATTCCATTACTTAGTATTTCCTATAAATTTCACCATTAACTAATATTCACCCTCAGATCGCGTTCATGATCCTCCCCAATTTTAATAAATATCTTAGCATCCAAGATGTGACGGGAACGGAAGTCGAGAGAGGGAAGCGGGGAAGGAAAAGGAGGGGGAGGAGGAGAGAAATATATTTATACAAGCACATCCGCCATTAACTTGTTCGTAAGCAGCCTTACCAGCGTTTGGCTACTGTTAGCATTTGCTATCGCTTAGACTACTTCCCGAGTGTCTCCACTTTCCACTGAGAGCCAATACGAAGGAGGCTTCTGCTTTTTTTTTTTTGTTTTTTTAAATAAGCATGTGAAGTCGTGCTTCCAATTCACGCATTAAGAACAATTTCTGTAATCGACGCTTTGACGAATCGTGCTTGCAGAAGTTCAACTGAATGCTTTATTTTATTCAATATTAACGCTGATTCTCGTGCTTGCCTTGATCTGGATAATACGCGTGTTACTTGCGTGCTATGTGTATTTTGGCGATAAAAGGAGAGTATCGTCATCGGGTGAACCACCAGCAGTCACAGCCAACAAACAGGTACAGCGCCTAATTTTAATAGTTGCTTTAGACAGCCTTGCCAGCGTTTGGTTACTGTTGGCATTTGCAATCGCTTACCTTGGAAATTCCTTATCTCTAAATGCCTCTGTACTCTGCCGTCATCAGTTCCAAGGCGGGATAATAGGACAAAAATTTGTGGGTGACGTCGAAGGGACTTTTACAAGTGCAAGAACAGATTTTCGACTGTTACGATAAACAATTATCTCCGAAGCCGAAATTTTGAATTTCTTAAAAACATGCGAAAAAAAAGTTACTGGAGCTTCAGTACATGCCGTGGACCTGCGACGGCAAAATGCGGTTGTGTGTTAGTAATAATAATGTATGCTTATCGAACGGGGGCTGGACATTACTAGCTTCAGAGGTCAGTTTCACCACTACAGGACCCTTAGTAGTGGCGCAATCATGGAATTCTACCACTCAAACAGAAATGCTTACCCAAAAACCCTAAAAAATAGATTTGCAGATGGGAGAAGCAACTGTGGCCGTAGCAAAAACGCCATTAGGCGATCTGGAATACAAAGCAGCAGCAAAAACTAGCCCAAGCACACCTTCCATTTCGGCGTCCTCACTAACATTCTCAAATCCTAATTTTACCCTTGAAGACGAAGAGAACGAGGACCAGCTCTGGCCGCAGAAAACAACAGCTGAGCAAGCAGCAAAATTCCACTGATTTTTGGCTTTTTATTCGCGTGTTCATGATATGTTAATGTAAATGAATGCAAATATCCCACACTTTGTTCCAGATAAAGCACACCTCTCTACTCACTCAAAATTAAGCAGACAGTGATGACTGGATGTTGTGAACGAGTTCGTATTCCAGTGCGATATGCTCTGCACCCCTGAATTCATCTAGCGGAACACCACCTAAATTCCCAGACAGCCCGAAATCAGGCCTGAGGCTTAGCACAGCGAAGCCCGAGAGCCGTTAAAATGTCATTATCCACTTTGTAGAAGTGCAAATAGTTAATACTTTAAGCTAGGAGTCTCTGGCGAGTTAAATTTTATGTCAAAAAGTTACGGCACCAAGAACTAGGCAACTGATTTTGATTTCACGGTTCCCGACAGTCCAAGACTTCATGTCCTCAAAACTCCGTTATATTAGTCTTCGAGCCGACTTATTCCAACAAATGCACACATAAGCAGAGCCACGATCTTGTCATTAATGTGTCATAACTTATGCAAAAATGGACAAGGCGCCGTCTCTGTCATTTCTGTTACTGTATTTTTAGAAGTTTTTGCACATTTATGCAAATTGAAGCATATTAATTGATTAACCATTCTGTAGGATGTGTGTCGTGTGTGTGTATGTGTGTGCGTCGTGTGTATGCGTGTTTGTGTGTGTATGTGTGTCGTGTGTGTGTTTGTGTGTGTGTGTGTGTATGTGCGTGTGTGTGCGTGTTTGTGTGTGTATATGTGTCGTGTGTGTGTGTGTTTATGTGTGTGTGTTTGTGCGTGTGTGTGTATGTGTGTGTGTGTGTGTGTGTGTGTGTGTGTGTGTGTGTG